GGAAAGAGAAAAATCACCCACCAGGGGAGATGGCCACACCACAATCCCTTCTCCTCTCAAGATTTTGGGCATGCACACACACGTGCCCGATGTGACTTTAAAGCCACACAGAGACTCAACTGTGGTCTGCCATGTGGGAGTCTAGCACCTTATCTACCACACCAATGCTAGCCCCTGTTGTGAGGATTAAGAAAAGGTGTGTAGGGGTCAGCAGGTGGCGTGGTGGTTAAGGGCACTAGACTCCCACATGGCCAACCACGGTTTGAGTCCTGGACCTGGTGGTTTACTTTCTTACTTTCTGTCTCTCTCTCATTCTGTCTTTCTCTGGTCAAATTAAAATAAATAAATAACGTTAAATAAAATAATTCTAAAAAAGAAAGAAAAAGTATGCAGAGGGCCTGGCAGAATGTGTGGTATACAGCAGGGACCCAGCAGGTCTTCCTCCTTTCTTTCCCCATGGCCTGGGTCTCCTCAGGGCACACGGCCTCTGCCCCTGACACGGAAGACGCTGGCAGACTTGAGTCACACCACCATCCCTGCCCTGTAAGCCTCGCTCCTGCCATCACCTCTCCTTTTTAAAAGCATTCTGACAGGATAACAAGAAGACAGAGGAGCCCTGCCCTGGCACAATGAGCCCACACGCCACAAACACAGGCCAATGACTGGGATTTCCACTCCTGGGTGAGATCCGCCAGGAAGCTCCTGAAGCCCTCTGGCTCTGAGGGTTCTAGAGCCTCCGCCAGGGAGCTGTCTCCCTCAGCAGCTGCTCAAACCCCTGCTTAGAAACCACCTCCCCGCAGGTCAAGGGAGCTGTACAGACAGTCCTTCCTCCGACAGCCAGGCCAAGGGCTGTGGGTTACCTTCTCTTCAGGTCTCCCTCCTCTGTGTCCTCGACCCCTTCCATGTCCTCTGGACACTCCTCCTCAGTCCCAGCTCCTGAGTGCAGTTCGCTCTCCTTAAGAAACTCAGCAGCTTCTGGCGTGGGCAGAGTGTGGTCGATGACTGTGCTGTCCTTCCCAGCTTTCCAAAGCTTGTACCTCTCTGGCTGGAACTTCCTCACAAACACGTCCATGGAGATCTTCACCATATCTTTCCGGCAAGAGCACTGTCGCAAGCAGCCAGAGAACTCCCGTGAGCGCATCTAAGCTGTTTCCACCTCACCCCACAGACCATCACCTCCCTCCAAGTGGAAAAGAGCAAAGATGGCTTAAAACCAAACTGTTCCGGTTCGCGGGGTGAGGGCAAACTATCCTTGCAAAGCCATCAAACGTGAAGGAAAGCGGGGGAGAGGACAGAGAATGCGGGGCAGGGATTGAATCCACCTGGGCAATAACGGCCATGCAGGGAGGGTAGCTGACGAGGAGGCTTTGGACTCAGGTCCCAGGATGGCCAGCATCCACCTGCCCTGCAACACCCACCCGAGCTGGGATCACCCAAGCAAGTTGGTCCCTCCTGGTCCAAAGGTCCAGCCCAACAGCTTGGCTAAAGTCAGAGTAAACCCGTAAGGTTTCTCAACAGAAATGCCAGAGTGGCTGAAACAGGAAATGCTGATGTGAGGGCCAGGGGTGCTTTTAAGTCTCAATGACTTAAGCATGGAACCTCACTTCATATGTCCTAAAGATGAACATATTTTTAAAAACTGTTTATTAACACAAAATGTTGGCGCTTTTAACAGACCAGTCACTCTGTTTCCAAGTTCCAGCAGTTTAAAGACCTGTTCTGATCACCACCAGCCAGTGTATCTAACAGGAATCTGCTCAACTAGGCCTTCTTAGTCATGGTGTTGCAGAAAGAAGCCGAGTGGACTTACCAACACAGCTTGTTTGCCATATTCGATCCACCGCCGGGTAGCAAAGTTGGTAGACTCTGCGCAGTTGAAGCCATGGTTAAAGCCGGCATGGTAACCGTAAGGGAAAGTGATCATAAATTCTCCAGCTTCTTGAGTCACCTGAACAAGAGCAGACTTGAAGTAGCTGCTTCAAAGGGCAGAGTCTACAGAACTGGAATTCTGAGCTCCAGCTCTGCTACACCGTAGCTGAGTAACCAAGGAGAACTTGTAAAACTACAGAGGTCTTGCTGTCTTCTGTGATCTACAAAGTCCTAACCTACCGGATGTCTGGACTATAATTAACCATTCCCCCAAATTAACTCTGTTCAAGGGCAGGTGACTCTCCTCTGGCACCAAGGAAGTACAGTGGCTCCGTCTGTGATAACCTTAGATCGAATACTGAGCTATATTAGCTTCGATCCACATCTGCTCTATAGTACTGAGCTAAAAACTCAGAAGGGTCAGCCCATGCCACGGGTTAAGGCAGCTGGATCCCATACAACCAACTGAGCAGTTCTGAGTCCTGCACCCAGCAGCTGAAAATCACACCGGGCATGTGTGCAAGCATGCCCCAAGTCCCAACAAGAAGGAGAAATGCAGGAGAAGGGTCTGCAGTATAATCATACATCTTGGCGGGGAGGGGTGCTTTTCGCTTTCCCTTTTCGCTTCCTCCCCCAGGGAAGCATTTGCCCTTTAGCACATTAAAAAAACAACAAAACAACTCTATTAAAATATCCAAGAGTTCCAACAATGATAGCATAGGCTTTAGGGTACCACTATGACTTGGGATACTAGAACCACATGGGAAACCCAAGTTCAGACCCCTGGTCATCGGACCACGGTGGGTGTGTCTAAATGCACCTGCATTACTGGCTGGCCAGCCGACCTGAGGGGAGGAACTCAGCAGGGTGAGACTTGGTCATAGGTACCCCTCTCTCCCTCCCTCTCTCATAAAATAGACTTAAAAAAACAACAACAACTAGAAAGGATACCTATTATGGAAGGCTAAGGATTTCTGCATGTAACAACAGCTCACCTTGTCAAATGGAATTCCGTATTTCTTCAACATTAAGGGAGAAATCAGGGTCATCTTATGCCGGAGAAAAGCCTCACAGCTTTGAGCACTTCCAGGGAAAAAGCCTGTTGAAATGAAAGTGAGTGTGGGTTGACACAGTGCACTGCACTCGCTCAGGCCCCGGGAGGTACTCCACACCTGGGCCATCACGGGGTGCGGGGGTGAATCACCGCTGTGGGCTCCAAGGGTCTGTCTGGCTCAGATTCTGCAATGAGCCTCTAGGCGTTCTCCCATGGAGGATGTTACACGGGTAATCAAATTCTGTTTGCAAAAATGAGATCACTCAAGTTTCCACTGCTCTTACAAAGCTTTGAAACTATTCAGGACCTGTTTTCCCGCCACCTGTCTCAGTCGTTCATCAAGAACGTATCTATAGCGGAGGCTAACCTGGCGGTCTTGAAACTGGCTCTCTAGAGGTACAGTCTATCAAAGTCCACTTAAAAGAACCAAAGAAAAAAATAATTCAATTCTGATGTTAGCATGTGGGTTTGGGGCAGAACCAGAGCCAATATGACTCATATACTATTCCTGGTCAAAAAAGTCTGTGTTCAGTAAAATTGAGGCAAAGGCTGTAAAAGAAGAAATTACTGAGTCATTTTTCAGGACAGAGGAGGGAAGGGTTCTCGTCGTAGCTGCTCTGCTAAGGCAGCCAACCTAGCCTCGGGATCACCCCCACCCATAGGTCTGCAAAAGGCTGCCCACAGAATACGGGCATTTCAGAGCAATGAGCCCAGTGCACGGAGGGCTGGTCCCAGCACATGAAGACACAGTACCTTTGGCGAGGCGCTCCAGACGCTTCCCATGCTCAGGGGGAACAGAATACCTGCAACCACAGGACGGCATCAGACACGGAGCAGAAGACATGCACAGGACTAAGTGCTACTTCCCACTCTCGACCTTCAGGACCTTCGAGAGACTGTAAAACTTCCCAACACGAGAAAGGAGTCTGGAGATGGGACCAGCAGTTGGCGTAATGGCTATGTCTCTGGGCAGAGGAGTGGGAAGCTCATTCACAAGTGTGAATGAATTTATTTCTTCTACATTCATTTATTCACTTAATAAGAAGTTTACTGAATGTTCACCATGAGCCAAGATTTATGGTACACCATGCTTCTCTCTCTCTCTCTCTCTCTCTCTCTTTTTTTAAATATTTTAATGTTTTTGCTATACGGCACACGCCGGAGAAAGGGAAAATAAGAAAGCACCCAAGAGGGTACGGCCACACAGCAAACCCTTCTCCTCCATTCTCCTCTCGGATTTCGGGCGGGCATGCACATATATGTGCCCGGTACAGTTTTCAAGCTGCTGGGTGCAGGACTGACCGTAGCCGGTCAAATGGGAGCCTAGAGCCTTTACCTCCCACACCACCTACTCGCCACCATTTCTCTCCTGTTTAAAGTTGTTACGGAATACAATTTTTTAAAAAAGAGAAAAAAAAAAAATGGCATTATATAACCTCAGTATATTTCAAAATACTCCTGGCAGGGCCAGCCCTGCAGCAGACCACCATCTGAAGCCCAACTCTGATGGACTTGGAGATACACATGTGCATGCATGCCCAAAATCCTGATGGGATGGAGGAGTGAAAGAAAAAGGACTGTGTCGTGACCATGCCCCACTGGGCAGTTCTCCTCTCTCTCTCTCTCTCTCTCTCTCTCTCTTCTTCCTTCCCTCCCTCTCAAGCACACACACCCTCTGGCAATTAAAAAAAAAAAAAAAAAGTCTAAAAAATAATGCTCCTGACATTACTTGAAAGATCTAACTGGAAGCAGGATAGAGGAAGAATGGAAAACAAGGTGAAGATGGAGCGGATGACTTACCCACAGGGCCTCAGACCTGCTGACAAGCCCATTTCCCCTGCATTTTCATAACAGCTATATTGATTACCCAGTAACTAATTACTCTTTAACCTGGTAGACTATCTAGACACCACAGAAACTGTTCTTTATGGGGACACTTCACACTTTAAAAAACACTTTAAAAAACAGTTAAAACTCTGTATTATGAAACTCACAGTAACCTTTTTATCCTTTATAATCTTTATTTAATTTACCAGCGGTGCATGCACTCGAGGGTAAAAAGGGAAAGGGAAAAATCACCCCCTTAGGGGATAGTCTCGCCACAATCCCTTCTCCTCCATCTCATCTCAGGATCTGGGGCATGCGCACATGTGCCCAGTGTTTATCTTTGAAGCCACTGGATCTCAGACCCAATCCACGCAGCCAGCCTGGTGGGATCTAACTGCTACCTTAGCCACCAAATCACCGGCTGGCCCCCTTTATAAAAAGGGAAAAATCACCCCCTTAGGGGATAGTCTCGCCACAATCCCTTCTCCTCCATCTCATCTCAGGATCTGGGGCATGCGCACATGTGCCCAGTGTTTATCTTTGAAGCCACTGGATCTCAGACCCAATCCACGCAGCCAGCCTGGTGGGATCTAACTGCTACCTTAGCCACCAAATCACCGGCTGGCCACCTTTATAATCTATTCTAAAGATTATTCCACAACAACACACACTTTCCATCCCAAATAGCTTCATACGAAACAAAGCTGAAGAGAAGTGTTGAGAAAGACGTCAGCTACAGGACTTGGGGATCCTCCCGGCAACCTCCAGAGGTCTCTGGAGGCCCCACTCAGACCAGAAGTATGTGCAACAAATGAAAAGCCTTGCCTGGATATGAGAATGGAAACCAATGTCAGGGCATTTGGGAACAAATAACGGTGAAGATACCAAAGCTACGCTTTCAGATTCCACACGTCTAGCCATCTATGGAAGGAAATGGGATGCCAGTAGACGCAAAGGTTTTTTTCCCCCCTGAAGATTAGAAACTAGAAATCATTTAAAAGAAGAAAGAAACCCCCCTGGAAAAGAATGTGACTTAAAGATGCTAAAACAGCAAATGGAAGATGGAGAGTTTCCATGACTCCCCATGACCGGGCCACAGTGTCCCGTCCAGTCTCTTCGCTCACTTCTCATCCGTGTACGTGGCACTCCAACCACAGCGGACTTCTCCCAGCTTCCTGAACCAACGTGGAGCTCGCTCTCAGCTGAGGGGAGCTTTGCACACGAAGTTCCAACTGCCTGGACATGCATTCAGCCTTCCTCTCCTGAACCCACCACCATTCCACACCGTTACATCCTTCTCAGCTTTTAGGTCTCGGCTAAGGAAGCCTTCTTTAATCCCTACCCCAACCCAGCCACGTGTCCTTCTTTTGGGGACCTCTACCACTAACCTCCAGTAGAGCTTTCCTCACACCTCTCTTATCTTCTCACACCTACTTTCCGCCTCCTGGCCAGTCTGTGTGGGGACAGGGACCTCATCTGTCTTACAGCTGTTACTATACCAATTCACTAAAATGATGAGATTGAGAGATGGCCAGCGTAGAGAGACGAGAAAGAACAAACTTGATCTCCCCAAGACTAATACATCCCAGAGAGCAGGAACTGTATCCCGAGTAGCCTGAATCCCCCACCTGTTTTAAGCTGTGCACCAAATATTTGTTCCAAGAGGAAAAGAAAGCTTTCTATCACCTGAAGGAGTGACTCCAGTCTTGGAAGTCTGCCTCTAAGAAATGTCTCAGGCCTGTTCAGAGAAAGAAATTAGAAAGGAGCTGGATAGCCTGACACAGCCGCCGGGCCTTCAGTATCTCGGCCAACATGAGCTTTCATACAACAAGTTCTCTAAAGCATCCCTATAAGCATCCCTACTCAAAAAGGGTCTGAGCTCCAAGAGCGACTCAGCCCTTGAAGTCTGCTTAAAATGAAGAAGGCCAGCTCCCTCTGCCCCCAAGTCTGCTGAACGGGATCTGCATCTCAAGACAACCTCGAGGTGAGTCCTCCGCGCACTAAAGGTGAGAAGCCCCACTCCATGGCAGAGCCCTGGGACCAATGGCAAGCTGACTTTACCAGGACTTTGGTTCTCCGAAATGCAGGTAGTTGATGCTGTAGAGGTCCATGTCTTCGGTGTGCCAGGCGAAGGATGTCTTCCACATTCCGAAGTACAGGTATGGAGTGTTCACACCCTCGATGGTGATCCCACTCTCTTTTTCCACCAAGTCCAGGATTGTTTTCAGCCGGCCAATATTCCACTCATCAACGTGCTGCAACGGAAATGACAGCCCAGGGCACGTTATATTCGAATATAGGTGAGGGCACCGAGCCCACAAATCACAGAGGAGGTCTCAGGGAGCTGGCACGCCAGGAAAACGTGGAATAGTGTCAGAACAGTAGATATGCAAAAACCATCGCATCCCTCACTCGATCACCGGAACTGATACCATCACACCTTCGAGGGACAAAGACCACCGTGAGAATAACAGCAGTGTAGGAAAGACGGACAGGGAAGGGACAGTGGCCCGTTCTAATTCCCAGGAAAAGGAATTCGAACGGAGCTTCAAAAACTTAAGTCGGAGCCAGCTGGTGGTGTGGTAGTTAAGGGTGCTAGACTCCCACATGGCTGATTATGGTTCAAATCCCGGACCTGGAAGCTTGCTTTCTCACTTTCTCTCTCTCTCTCTGTCTCTTTCCATCTCTCTCTGGTAATGTAAAAAACAATAATAATAATAATAAAGTTAAATGAATAATTCTAAAAAAAAAAAAAAAAAAAACTTCAGTCAAGGGACAAGCAGATGGTATAATGGTTATGTCACTGGACTCCTACATAATTGACCACAGTATGAGTCCTGGACTTAAAACTCACACCAGGTGCACGTGTGCACAAAATCCCAAGAGGAAAATGGAGGAGAAGGGACTGTGGTGTGGCCGTGCCTCCCTGGCCATGCCCCCTGGGGGGCGATTACTTGCTTTCTGTCACTCCAGTGAGTGCACAAGCCCTATAGCAAAACATCTCTTTCAAATAAATAAAAACAAAAAAACTTCAGTCAAGGGACTGGCAGGTGGCATGGTGGTTAAGGCGCTGGACACTCCCACATGGCCGACCATGATTCAAGTCCTGGACCTGGTGGCTTGCTTTCTCACTTTCCTCTTTCTCTCTGTGGGCTTCTCTCTGGTCAAATTAAAATGAATGAATGAATGAATAAAATTGAATAAAATAATTCTTTTAAAAAAGAAAAAAAAACTTCAGTCAAAGGACCAGCAAATGGTGTAATGGTTATGTCACTGGACTCCCACAGGGTCAATTGTGGTTCAAGTCCCAGACCCAGAGGCTTGAAACTCAGGCCGGGCATGTGTGCATGTGTGCCCAAACTCCTGAAAGAACAGAGGAGAAGGGAGTGCGGCATGGCTATGCCCCCAGAGGGGATCGGTCTATCTATCTATCTATCTGGCGAGCACAAGTGTCCTATAACAAATATGTCTCTTAAAAAAAAAAAAAAAAATTCAGTTAAAATAGAAAAGAGGGGTCAGCCTGTGGCCTTGTGGTTAAGGCAGCTGGATTCCACATGGCTGACTGTTCAGCCTGGTGGCTTGAAAAACACTCAAGGTAGGGGACCAGCAAGTGGCATGGTGGTTAAGGTGCTGGACTCCCACATGGCTGACCACAGCTCGCTTCGCAGATCTGGCAGCTTGCTTTCTCATGTTCCCAATTTCTCTCTGTCTCTCCCTAGTGAACACACGTGCTCTGTAACAAATTAAAAAATAATAATAGTGGGGCCAGCAGGTGGCATGGTCGTTAAGGAACTAGAATTCCCACATGGCTGACTGCAGTTCTAGTCCCAGACCTGGCGGTTTGCTTACTCACTCTCCCTCTCGCTCTCTCTCTGTCTTTCTCTGGCAAAAACTCATGTGAAAAAATAATAAATAAATAAATAACAGCAATAAATAACATTTTAAAAAAAGAAAAACATTCAAGGCATGTGTATGTTTGTGTACCCAAAAATCCCAAAAGGAAGGGAAGACAGAGAAGAGATTATGAAAATAACTATTCCCCACGAAGGGTGCTTTCTCACTTTCTCTTTCTAGCAAATGCACACGCCCTCTGGTAAAATAACATAATAATAATAGGAGAGAGGGCCGGCCTGGCAGTGCAGTGATCAAGCCTTCTGCACCAGAAGCCAGATCTCATGTGGCTAACCACACCCACACACATGCATAAATGCCCAAAGCCCTGATAAAAAGAAAAACTGGAGGGAAAGGACTGCACCATGACCACGCCCCCGACGGGCCGCGAAGGTGTGTGAGCCACCACACCTACACACGAGCGCTGAGCTCGCACTTTCATTCTCTTCGAAAGACACGGGTGCCTTCTGCAATTAAGAAAAAAATTTTTAGAGCCAACAGGTGGCGTGGTGGGTAGGGTGCTGGACTCCAACATGGCCAACTATGGTTTGAGTCCCAGACCTGACAGCTTGTTTCTAGCAAATGCACACGCCCTCTGGTAAAATAACATAATAATAATAGGAGAGAGGGCCGGCCTGGCAGTGCAGTGATCAAGCCTTCTGCACCAGAAGCCAGATCTCATGTGGCTAACCACACCCACACACATGCATAAATGCCCAAAGCCCTGATAAAAAGAAAAACTGGAGGGAAAGGACTGCACCATGACCACGCCCCCGACGGGCCGCGAAGGTGTGTGAGCCACCACACCTACACACGAGCGCTGAGCTCGCACTTTCATTCTCTTCGAAAGACACGGGTGCCTTCTGCAATTAAGAAAAAAATTTTTAGAGCCAACAGGTGGCGTGGTGGGTAGGGTGCTGGACTCCAACATGGCCAACTATGGTTTGAGTCCCAGACCTGACAGCTTGCTTTCTCACTTTCTCTCTCTGTGTTTCTCTGGTAAGCACACGTGCTCCGTAACAAACTAAGAAGTAATAATTATGATAGATAAAATTAAAAATGTTTTTTAAAGGGAGAAAGACTGCTTAGACCACTCAAAAATAAAAAAGATAGAAATTAACTATAACAACTGTGTGACATTGATAGCCCCAATTTCCACCGAGCAGTGTCTTTATAGTCTGCGTCTTTTTCCCAAGTTGTGATGGCCAACTAGGAGCTCAACACTTTTAAACACATTCTGGATTACGAAGATTTGCTCTTGCACCTCCACTCTTCAGATCCTTACAGCATCTTCCTGCCATTCATCCCTAAACTTGTGACTGTTAAGAGCAAACTTGAAATCTACTTTAACCTGTTTCCTTACAATACTTCATAAAAATATTCATCTCAGTGATAATCCTAGAGATGCCTTACAGATGTTTTTAAATGACTATTTTATTTATTATTATTTTTTTTAATTTGGTGTAGTCACGTGCACTCACCAGAGAAAGACAGAGAGAGAGAGAGAAAGGAAGCCGCCATGTTTGGGTCAAACTGTGGTCGGCCATGTGGGAGTCCGGCCCCTTTAATCACCACACCACCTGCTGGCCCTAACCCTATTTTTAAAAACCCTATTTTAATTAGACAATCCCAACATTCTCCCCTTCTACCATAAATATTTAAGACAATTCTTTATGTCCAAAACCACTATGTGCCAAGCTGATGCAACTGGTTAAAATAACTTTTGCTACATGATCTTGTTTAAGGGTTCTGAGAATCTAAATACGTTTCTCTTTTTAAATATATGCCCCTCTCATCAGATTAGTCAGTGATCTTTTTTCTGCAGAAACCACACTGCCTCTCCCCCAACATTTCATTTTCTGTGCTCCATCCCACCCTTTCAAGAACTCATCAGCTACCACCCACAGACTGTGCTAACAGCCCTTGAAAAGAACACCACATCACCCAATTCACATGTAGAGTGGGAGAAATAAAATGCAGTCACATGCAAAAGTGCCCACAATCAGGCAAGCCCAGCACATCAGTGGTGGCAGTTCCCTCATTTGTTCTTCTGCGCATTCGCCAATCTGCGCATTCGCCAATAAGCTTTCAGGTGCCTACTGTGTGCTGGGCATAAAAAGTTACAAAATTGCAGAAAAACAGCCCAGAGTGTTTCTGGTGCATCTCACCTTTTCGTAGAGAGTACCATTCACATCTGCACCATAGATCGGAGGATTGAACGTGAGATTTTTCCAGTACTTGCGCTCAAGCTCTTCAAACTCACTATAGCGTGGTGTGCAATACCTTCCAAAAGTAAAAAAAAAAAAAAAAAAAAAAAAGTTATTAGACACCTATTAAATTATATTACATATTTATGACACCATATTAAAACCACTTGTATATTAAGGATCAGGAACGGTGTTGGATACAATCTTCTGTTCAAGAGACAGCGAGGTATTTTACATGAACAAGACATAACCTTGGCATTCAGGGCTCTAATACGCAGGTCACACACACACATCCTAACATCCCTTCCCTGAGGCTTGAAGAGGCCTGGGAGAGGTCTTGGATGTAAATCCATCTTCCTTAAGCTGATAGCCTCGGCTCTGAAAAAATCTACAATTGGGTAGATTGAGGAGTGGCCTGGCCACCCTCAGGGAGAAGATGGGCTTATAAACTTGTAAGAACCAAGAACCACAAATCTGTACATATCCAGAGACAACCAAAACCACCAGCAAAAAAAGGAGGCCTAACAGCGCTCCTTTCCCTGTACTAGATAAAGGAGTTGTTTCCAGAGGGCTCATGTGTCTGTGTTGCTGCCGTATTTCTAGCACCTTATGCAATGGCTAAGCCATAAGTAATTCTCCCTAAAAACAAAGTCTCTTAGGAAAAATATTAACTAGCTCTCAAAACATCAACACTTTAATGCATCAGATATCCCACTTACACATGTCTATCTGTATCTTTTTCTCATCTGAAGCCATAAACATACCTACATGCTTTAGCTGAGTATCATACTGAGAATTAATTCCAAAAAATTTTTTTTTAAAAAAAGTTCAAAACAGGGGCCAGCAGGTGGTGTGGTGGTGGTTAAGGCAACCAGACTCCCACTGGCCGATGGCAATTTAAGTCCCAGACATGGAGGCTTGCTTTCTCAATTTTTCTCTCTCTCCCCCCGCCCCGTCTCTCTCTAATCAAACTGGAAAATAATAATAATAATAAATAAAGTTAAAATAAAATAATTCTTAAAAAGAATGTTCAAAACAGGGACCAGGAGATGGCATAATGGTTACGTCACCGGACTCCCACATAGTCAATTGTTGTTCAAGTCCCAGACCCAGCAGCTTAAAAATGACACTGGGGGGACCAGCAGTTAGCGTAATGGCTATGTCGCTGGACTCCCACATAGTCGACCGCGGTTTGAATTCCGGACACGGTGGCTTAAACTCACGTGGGGCGAGTGTGCGTGCGTGCCCAAGATCCCGAGAGGAGAACGGAAGAGAAGGTATTGCGGCATGGCCATCCCCCCTGGGGGGTGATTTCTCGCTTTCTGTCTGTCTCTCTTAGCGCCCTATAGCAAAAACCTCTCCCCCCAAAAAATAAAATAAAATGACACTGGGCGTGTACATGCACGCTCACAATCCCAAAAAGTGAGTGGAAAAGGGATTACAGCTTGGCCATCCCCCGGGGGGTGATGGGGTGATATCTCGCTTTCCATCTGTCTCTCTCTCTCTGTCTCTGTCTCCAGTGAGCACACATGCTCTATAGCAAAAATCTCTTGGAGGGAAAAAAGTTCAAAACAGGGCCACCTCAACAGCTTGGTGGTTAGAGCAGTTGTATTCCACATGGCTAACCCCTCAGTTTGAGTCCTGGACCTGGAGGCTTAAGAAACATGCCAGGAATATGTGGGGGGGGGGCCAAAATCCTGAAAGGAGGGAAAAATGAAAAAAGAACTGTGGTGTGACCATTCTCCATGAAGGGTGCTTTCTCCCTGTCCCTCTCTTTTTGTCTCGCTCTAGCAAGTACACACACCTTCTAGCAAAAAAAAAATGGTTCAAACCACTTAAAAATTATTGTGCAACAATTTTAAAAGAAAAAATGCAGGCCTAATAGGGATCTTAAAAAGTGAAATAACTAATGCACACTATAGCTTAGGTGGCAAAAAAGAACACAAAACATTATGAATGGTGGATAAAGAATGGATATGGGAAGGGGAGACAGTATGGTAGTTAAAAGCACTGAACTCCCACATGGCTGACCATGGTTCAAATCCTGGACCTGATGGCTTGCTTCCTTGCTTTCTCTCTGGTCAAGTTTTAAAAATAACAATAATGATAAATAAAATAAAGGAAATAATTCTTAAAAAAAAGGATGGAGGGTCAGCAGGTGCAATGTGAGTGATAAAGGTGCAGGACTCCTATACGGTCGATCGTGGTTCGAGTTCCAGACCTGACAGCTGGCTTTCTCACTCTCCTTCTCTTGGGTGAGCATACATGCCCTATAGCAAAGTTAAAAAATAATAATAATCAAGTGGGCCAGCAAGTGGCATGGCAGTTAAGTGCACTGAACTCCCACACGGCTGACCGTGGTTCAAGTCCCAGACCAGGCAGCTTGCTTTCTCACTTTCCCTCTCTCTCTCACTGTCTCTCTGTCCCTCTCTGGTCAAATAGAAAGAAAGAGAGAGAGAGAGAGAAAGACAGAGAAAGGAAAGTTAAATAAAAGAATTCTTAAAGATAATAATAATAATGAAGGGACCAGCACGTGGCTTGGTAGTTAAGGCATTAGACATCCCCACATGGCTGACCATGATCTGAGTCCTGGACCTGGTATAATGAGACCCAGGGCCAGCAGTTGGCATGGGGTCAGGTGGCTGGATCCCACATGACCGACTCCACCGTTCAAGTCCTAGAGCCTGCAACTTGAAAATCACACCAGGCGTCTGTGTGTGTACGTGCCCAAAATCCTGAAAGGAGAATGGAGAAGAGGGGACTGCAGCAAGGCCATGCCCCAGGGTGTGATTTCTCTCTTTCTTTCTCACTCTTTTTCTCTCCCCCCTGGTGAATGCATGTACCCTACAAGAATAAAAAAAATTAAAAAGGAAAGAAAGCATGAGAAAGACAGACCGAAGCACGGCCCCCAGAAGTGTGAAAAGTGGCCAAAGACCCAGCTTCTGGGCTTGCTTATGGTGAAGGTGCAATATGCCTGACAGGTAGAATCAAGATATGCACTGATCAAAAAGGCTCAGGAGGCTCAGCCTTGCTGCTGAAATGCTGTGCTTGGTAGGCTGTGCTTGGTGTGCTTGGACCACACAGGAGGCGTAGGTTCAATTCCCAGACCAACCTCAAGGCCCAGCACAGTGGTATAAACTGCAATCCCAGCAACCTGGGAGGCCGAGGCAGAAGGACTACAAGCTCCAGGCCGGCCTGAGCAACACAGAAAGACTGCGTCCAAAGAGCCAGGCGTGAGGTGCTCACGTGTAATCCCAGGTGGGAGGCTGAGCAAGAGGAACACGACAGCAAGACCTTGTCTAAGACAAATGGCTTAGGAAGAGAACCAAGGGAAAAAGGAGGAATCCCTTGCAGAAATGCTCGATTAAGTGGGAAATGAGAAGATCCAAGAAAGAGGATTAAGAAGCAGCAAGCCAGAGCTGAATAAAGGAAATGCATAATTCATTTTCTGTGAATCTAAGGTAAAATGAGAACTAAATATTAAAAAAGCAGAGAAAAACAGAAAACAATGGACCTAAACAAAAACATTTTTAAAAAATTTTGTTCATTGTCATTATTTTATTACTATTATTTTTAAAGTTGACCAGAGAGAGAAGGAAAGAGAAAGCAAGCTGCCAGGTTTAGGACCTGAACCGTGGTCAGCCATGTGTGAGTCCAGCCACTTTAACCACCCCCAACAAAGATATTTCTTTTTTTTATTATTTTATTTAACTTTTTTTTTTTTTTTTTTTCTTTATTTTATTTTGACCGGAACAGGCCCAGTTTTTACTTATTTTAATTTGACCAGAGATGGACAGAGAGAGAGAGAGAGAGAGAAAGTAACAAAGCAAGCCACCAGGTCAAAAATGAACAGATGACAAAGCACAGAGTAGTAGAAAGTAGAAAGCACCTTGGCAGCTTGCTCATATTTTGCTAATGTCCAAACAAATGATGGCAGCTAGGTGGGTATTAAGGTGTCTGGCCAGGATCAAAGGCAGGAGTCCAAGAGACAGAACCCGAAACGACTCAAGACACTTTTTGGTAAGTGGGCTTATCAATATATCCAACAAAAGCTCTTTAAAACTACCTCCAACTTTCTCCTTTGCAACTTTGTAATTTACCCGTCAGAATATGATTCAGGAATCCAGCAGGTGGTATAGAGGTGAACATGACTGGATCCTACGCGCAAACTCCACAGTCAAATTCCTGACCTGGTAATTAAAAAAATATGCCAGGTGCATGTGTGTGCATGCCCAAAGTACTGAGAAAAAGGAGAAGGGACTGCAGTACAGGGGGCAATCATCCCCACTGCACGGCGACTCTCACTTTCCATCTCTATTCTATCTCTGTCTCTCTCCCATGGGCACACATGCAAAACTAAATAAAAATCAGAAGAAAAACAGACAAAGAAAGAAAGAAAATAATTCTTTTTTAAAAATATTTAATTTGGGTTTTTTTTGGGGGGGAGGAGAAAGGTTTTTGCTATAGGGCACGTGCGCTCGCCAGACAGACAGACAGAAAGCGAGAAATCACCCCCTGGGGGGATGGCCACGCCGCAATCCCTTCTCCATTCTCCCCTCAGGATCCTGGGCACACACGCACACACACCCAGCCTGAGTTTAAGCCACCAGGTACTCGCAGTTGACTACATTCGAGTCCAGAGATATAGCCATTATGCCAACTGCTGGTCCCTGTTATAATTATTTTTTAAAGAATTATCTATTTAATTTTATTCATTACCATCACTGTTTTTTAATTTGATCAGAAAGAGAGCGTGAGAACGTGAGAAAGCAAGCTGCCGGGGGCCAGGACTCAAACCAGTCAGCCATGTAGGAATCCAGCACCTCGACCACCATGCCACCTGCTGGCCCGTTATAATTATTTTTTAATTTTGATGAGAGAAGGGGAGAGAAAGTGAGAGAGCAAGTAGCCAGATCCAAGACTTGAACCATGGTCAGCCAGTGAGAGTCCAGCCCCTTAACCACCATGCCACCTGCCAGCCCCAAGAAAATGATTCTGAGGGGGAAAACAAAAGGATTACTTTATTGTAATAAAGTAATTACAAATTACAATTAATTTAATTGTAATTACTATTAGGCTGTGACACGGTACTGAGAGGAGGAAATGCTCTTTTCTGGTAAAAAGAGCAGAATAGGGCCAGCAGGTAGCATGGAGGCTGAGGCAGCTGGACCCCATATAGCTGACTACGTGGCTTGAGTCCCAACCTGGCAGCTAGAAAATGATGCTGGGTGTTTGTGTGTGCATGCCCAAAATCCCGAGAAAAAAATGGAGAAGGGACTGAGGTGTGGCCATCTCCGTGGAGGGCGATCTTCTTACTCCCCCCACTCTAGCTAGCACACACGTCCTATAGCATCCCCCCAAAAAAAAGAGCAGAAAGGGAGACACGAGCTAGAACTGAGCAAACGGCCCTTCCGCCCTTCCGCAGGACAGTGGCAGCCTTGGAACAGAGCTACGACGAGACGCCAACCCCCAAATCTCATGAAAGGTGACGACGCGGCGTTCACTCACTTGTCACTATTGGCTATCTTGCGGAACTCTCGGACAGTCATGGCTTTCTTCTGTATGTTGTATTGAGTAAAAAGGCCGGACTGGCCCGTCACCAGCTGCTGGATGGGGGCAGGAATGACCAAATCGTCAATATCATCGTAGGATGATCGTGGCTTCCACTCTTTTGGAGGAACAACCTGTAGAGAACACAGAGAGGCAGGTGAGAACCCTGGCAGCCAGCAGAGCTCAGGAGGTGCAGACGGTGCTACTGACCCAGGGACCTTAACAAGAGCGCTACTTGGACTTCCTCACATTTACCCAGTCAGGCTGGCCTTTGTCATTTTCTTAACCTAATGAAGTATAACCAAAAAATTGAAATGCGCTATAAAAGTCTGTACTGCAAGTTGGCCAGTGGCATAGTAGTTAAGGTGGCTAAATCCTACATGACTGACTGTGTAGTTCAAATTCTGGACAAGGTGGCTTGAGAGACAAGCTGGAAGCGTGTGCGTGTGTGCCTAAAATCCAAAGAGGAAAATAGAGGAGAAAGGACTGAGGTATGGCCAATCCCCCAGGAGGAGGGGGGAGGATTTCTCACTTCCTCTTTCTCTTTAGCAAGTGCCCATGCCCTATAGAAAACATAAACAAACAATCAAAACAAAACTGCACTGTGGGTCCTGCTGCTCCTACCTGTGGCTGTAAACCCAGCAATGGTGACATCTGCATGTAAAAGTAAGACGAGGTCCAGCCTAGGGATTCAGTGAGTAGCAAACTGAACTACCACGTTGGAAGCCACATGGCTGACCACGGGTTCGGATTCCCAGGGTGGCCTGAAAACGCACTAGGTTCATGTACGTAGGCCCAGAATCCTTACAAGCTGTAGGGCTGGGGAAGGGGATGGCAACATGACAGGAGGCTTCTGAAGCTACTCCCTCCCACCCCTCTGTCTCTTTCAGGCATGTGCATCATGAATTAAATAAATAAATTTATTAATAATAAGAAGAAAAGGATGGAACTGTCTGTCACAAGCTCCAGTGGAGACACCAGAGCCCAAGACTGGTCCTCAGATTTGTAATAAATGCCCTTGCTTTCTTTTTCATATTGAGAAATTAACAAATAGGGCTGGTCCTGTAGCCTAGTGGTTACGGGAGCTGGATCCAACATAGATGACTGCAGTTCAAATCCTGGCCCCCACGGCTTGAAAAACTGTACATGTATGCACAAAATCCCGATAGAGAAATAAAAGGGAAGGGATTTTGGCAAGACCCCAACCCATTGGGGGGAAGGGGGTGCTTTCTCACTCTCCCTGTCCCCTTTTTTAAAAAGAATTAACTTAAGTTTTATTATCATTACTATTTTTAATTTACTACAGGTCATGTGTGCTCACCAGACAGAGAGAGAGAGAGAGAGAGAGAGAGGAGAGGAGAGAGGAAGCAGGGCCAGCAGGTGGCTTGGTGGTTACAGATGCTGGACTCCCACACATGGCCAACTAAAGTCCAAGTCCCAGACCTGGTGGCTTATTTTCTCTCTCTCTCTCTCTCTCACTCTCACTCTCTCTCTCTGGTCAAATTGAAATAAATAAATGAATGAATAAATAAAATTAAATGATTTTTTTAAAAAGTGAGGAAGCAATGGGACCAGCAGTTAGCGTAATGGCAATGTCGCTGGACTCCCACATAGTTGACCGCGGTTCGAGTCCCGGACCCGGTGGCTTAAACTCATGCCGGGCGCGTGTGCATGCGTGCCCAGGATCCCGAGAGGAGAATGGAGGAGAATGGATTGCGGTGTGGCCATCCCCCCTGAGGGGTGATTTCTCGCTTTCTGTCTGTCTCTCTCTGTCTGGTAAGCGCATGTGCCCCATAGCAAAAAAAAACTCTCAAAAAAAAAAAAAAAGTGAGGAAGCAAGCCACCATGTCCAGGACATAAACCCCAGTAGATCAGGTGAAAAAAAAGTGCCCTAACCACCACTCCACCTGTTGTCCCCCTCCCTGCTTCATCAGTGAGTGTATAAACCCTCTAGCTGAAATAATAAGAAAGTAAGAAAAGGAAAAAATGTGACAAATACATATGGTAGGAAACTCTAACAGCAAAAACAGTATAACAAGCTTCTTCCGGGGCCAGCAGGTGGCAGAGTGGTTAAAGGTGCTGGATTCCCACATGGCTCATCTTGATTCAAGTCCCAGATTGGGTGGCTTGCTTTCTCACTTTCCCTTCCTCTCTGTCTCTGTGTGATCAAATTAAATAATAACAAACGGAATTAAATAAATAATTTAAAAAAAAAAAAAGCTTCTTCCGAGGTCAGTCCCCTGCCTCTCAGTTTCTGAGGATTCTTCCAGAAATACAGTCATTTCATCTTCAGGGATTCAGAAACTTGACTGTGACAGAATATAGGACTGATGTGGCTCAGGAAGGGTAGTCAACCCAATTCACAGGAGAAAGAAGTCCAAGCCAGAACCATCACGCCAGCGGGCCAGTGCACTCTCCCCCAGCAGAGAGCCCACAGGGGAAATCTGATTGCTGTTACGAGTGTGAGCGGGGACCAGAACGAGAGCAGAGGTCGACCGGGCAGCGCCTGTGTCAGGTTAAAACCTCAGCCACGCAGCTCGGCCCTGAGGACCAGAGCACACAGGTCGGGAGACCCGGCGCCTCCCTTCCCCTTTGTGAAGATTCCGACCATTTCTGCTCCTCTCTAAAAGCAGAGATGCTTCAGACTCTAACTATTGAAAATTAACTTGTGGAGCCAGCAGGTGGTATGGTGGTTAAGGCGTTGGAATTCCCACATGGGCTACCACAGTTCCAGACCTAGACCCGGCAGCTTGCTTTCTAACTCTCCCTCTCTCACTCTCTTTGTCCTTCTCTGGAAAAACTTATGTGAAATAAATAATTATTTAAAGAAAGAAAGAGAAAGAAAGAAAGGAAGAAAGGAAGGAAGGAAGGAAGGAAGGAAGGAAGGAAGGAAGGAAGGAAGAAAGAAAATTAACTTGCAAATAGGACAGCATACACTAGCGTTTCAACCTCATCCAACTTCCAGTAAGACAGTTGTGGCCCTCACTGAGGAAAAATCTTAATGCTACCATAGGTCACAAAGGCCAGGGGAACACCCGATGCCTTACCTTGGCTAGTCCAGCCCGATGAGCTCCTTGGGATTCAATGTAGGCAATGTATCGACTGAAGTTCCGGAACTCTTCCATGGTTGGATAAAAAGTCATTATCCGAGCGCTGGGATTCAGAGTTTCTGATTCAGAAGCCATTTTCCCTCCTTTTTGAGGTCTCTGTTCAGAAAGGAATCTGAAGAATATATAAAGAGTATAAAATTAATTAAGCACAGCATTTTTGGGGACCAGCAGGTGGCATGGTGGTTAAGGACGCTGGACTCCCACATGGCTGATAGCGGTTCGAGTCCCAGGTATGGCGGTTTGCTTTCTCACTTTCTCTCTCTCCTTTCCTCTCTCTTTCTCTCTCTGATCAAATTAAATAAGTAAATAAAGTTAAGTTCAATAAAATACTTTATTTTTTATTGTGGGGGGGAGGTTTTTGCTATAGAGCACATGCACTTGCCAGAAAGCGAGAAATCATCCCCAGGGGGATGGCCACAACACAATCCCTTCTCCTCCATTCTCTTGAGATCTTGGGCATGCACGCAAACGCACCCAGCGTGAGTTTAAGCCACCCAGTCTGGAACTCTAACTGCGGTCGATTACATGGGAGTCGAGCGACATAGCCATTACACCAACTGCTGGTCCCTCAGTAAAATATTTTTTTAAAAAAAGAATGCAAAGTTGGGGGTAAAATGTAATTAAAGTTAAATGCTAGAAAAGTGAGTGCTGAAAATAGTAAAAGATGATGTAGAAATTCTGAAGCATTAAGACTTCATAGTCAGAATCTGCTTTTAGAATTTATGTAAATAAACTAGAAATCCAGATAGAAAAGATACTGTTTAAAAAGAACCTGATGATGGGGCCAGCAGGTGGCATGGTGGTTAAGGAACTGGACTCCCATATGGCTAATCATGGTTCAAGACCTGGACCTACTGACTTGCTTTCGCTTTCTCTCTTTCTTTCTCTCTGGTGAATGCATATGCACTACAGCAAACGTTTTTTTTTTTAAGTATTTATTTAATTTTTTAAAAACAATTATTTTATTTAACTTTATTTATTTATTTATTTTAATTTGACCAGAGAGGGACGGAGTGAGCGAGAGAGGGAAGGAAAGTGAGAAAGCAAGCCACCAGGTCTGGGACTCAAACTCTGGTCGGCCATGTGTGAATTCAGTGCTCTGAACCACCATGCCACCTGCTGGCCCCTATTTATTTAATTTTGTTGTTATTATTATTTTTTAATTTGCTATAGAGCATATGCATCCATGAGAGAAAGAGAAAGCAAGCCACCAGGTCTGGGACTTGAACCTTGATCTCCCATGTGAGAGTCCAGTGCCTTAACCACCTTGCCACCTGCTGGCCCTAGCAAACTTATTTTTTTTATGAGAATTATTTTATTCATTCATTTTAATTTGACCACACACACACACATACAGAGAGAGAGAGAGAGAAAGCAAGCCAAGTCACCACCAGGTTTAGGACTTGAACCATAGTCGGCCATGTAGGAGTGTCCAGTGCCTTAACCACCACGCCACCTGCTGGCCCCCACAGCAAACTTTTTTTTTTTTTTTTGGAGAGGTTTTCGCTATAGGGCGCGTGCGCTCGCCAGACAGAGAGAGACATAGAGACAGAAAGCGAGAAATCACCCCCCAGGGGGGATGGTCACGCCACAATCCCTTCTCCTCCATTCTCCTCTCGGGATCTTGGGCACGCACGCACACGCGCCCGGCGTGAGATTTAAGCCACCGGGTCCGAGACACGAACCGCGGTCGACTACGTGGGAGTCCAGCGACATAGCCATTACGCTAACTGCTGGTTCCCGCAAACTTTTAAAATAATAAAAATAAATAAAAATAACCTGGGGCTCACAAGTGGATGTGGGAGTCAGGCACCCTTCACCATACCACCTGCGGCCCCCAGAAAACCTGGTGTATCAAAACTGCCTGTATTCAAAGCTTTATTAAACGGAGACATTGTTTCACTCTCCCGCTTAGGCTTTTGCCATTGGGTGAATGCTCCCTAGAGAGACAATGAGAAGGAACAAGAAATCTCTCTTCTCTCCGGATTTTGGGCATGCATGCACACATGCTTGGTGTGATTTTCAAGTTACCGGTCCCGGTCCTGGTCCCGGTCAGTGATGTGGTAGTACAGCACCTTAACCACTATGTCACCTGCAGGACCCCCTTATCCTTATCTTTTCAACATACTCCCTTATTCACACCTTGCTAGTCTCTTCCCAGAGAATTAAACATAACATACTACAAGCTGATTTTACAAGCTACCTATGGCCGCCTTTCTAAGACATAGCTTTAAGACAGGATTCTGTATTCCTAAGGAAAGTTATTTGGCTACAGCACAACAAAGTTTAAAGGGTTAAAAAGTAATCTGACATTAGTAACATGACTTTATCATTTTAAAACCCTCAAGCAAAATTGTTCTCCTATCTGAACCAAAATGCAGTTTCAGCAGTACTTAATGAAGTCAAGCTAGACAAGTTCAACTGCTCTGTACCCAGAACTCAAAGGACAAAATTTAAACAGGCAATACGCGTGCAATCCAGGCCAAACCTCATAACTAACAGGAGAAAGCAAAATAAAATTTTAGATGAGGACATCAGTTCAATGGGTGCATTCCCATTGTTTGCTAACACAGTAGACAATAGCAACTGAAAATGGGCAAAGCAGACCAGCTAAAAAGTGCCATTTTAAAAGCAAAAACCGTGCATCCTTTCCTCTACTGAACTTCCTCACCAAGGTCTAGCAATTCTGCTCCTCTGCTCTAGAGGCCAAAGCCATGGCAGTTCAGCTCTGAGAGTACTTTTGAGAGCTAGAGAGCTTGGAAGGGAAACTGCCTCTAAACTACCAACCAAGTAGATTTGGGAGAGCTCCTGGAGCAGCGCTGTCTTAAGAGAGGAGAAAGAAGACAAACCTTACTACCTGCATCTCTTAAGCTTCCATTCTGCCAAAAATAAGGTATGTCCCTGTCCAGGCACTTTGCATGAATCTTGTGAAACTCTGCATGGCAGGTATGCAACTATCCCTGTTTTACACACGAGGAAATTTGCGACAGTCCACTCCTAGGGGCACCATCTTTATTCTGCCTACAACCTAATCCCCACCTAGATGAGTTCCTTTGCAAGGGCATATTCAAGTGTGGAGAAACCTGAAGCCTATTTAATTTTGAGGATTCTTAAAAAAAAAAAAAAAAAAAACAAAAACAAACTCTGAATACCTTAGTTTTGTAAATCTAACAAAAACCAACAATCATGTGTTGAGGCCCATACCATACCCAGGTCTTGAAAAGGGCCCCAATGGAGCTTGGTCGCTTTGGGCCCTATTCATCTTTATATGCCTAGAATCTAGAACAATACAGGACACACAGCAGGCACTCAGTAACTGTTGAATAACTGATTTCCTCACCCTCACCCCAGCTGAACATCGTCTTTCTTCAATGTAGAGTTCTCTTCCTCCAATCTATCCCCTGGGGAAAGCGCCCAATGCCCATCACTTTTCCTCCCGCATCCAGCAACAAAGCCTAGTGGTTAAAGAGCACCGGCTCCGGATTCAAAACTCTCAATACGGATACGGTCTTTGCCATTTATTAGCTGTGTGACCTTGGCTGTGCGAGTTGACTCTCAGTTTCTCCATCTGGAAAATGGGGATTCCCAACCCCCTGCCCTGCAGGGTTGCTGTGATTAACTCAGATGATGCAAGCGAAACGGTGAGCACTAGGCCCGGTACTCAGCTACTCAATAAAGATAGCTGGTGCTAACAACCATCCCAAACTCCCGCACCCTCCCCTCGCAGTCGCTCCCGCGGGTACCGCTCCAAATATAGCCCCCGCCCCGGAAGGAAGGAAGGAAGGAAGGAAGAAAGAAAATTAACTTGCAAATAGGACAGCATACACTAGCGTTTCAACCTCATCCAACTTCCAGTAAGACAGTTGTGGCCCTCACTGAGGAAAAATCTTAATGCTACCATAGGTCACAAAGGCCAGGGGAACACCCGATGCCTTACCTTGGCTAGTCCAGCCCGATGAGCTCCTTGGGATTCAATGTAGGCAATGTATCGACTGAAGTTCCGGAACTCTTCCATGGTTGGATAAAAAGTCATTATCCGAGCGCTGGGATTCAGAGTTTCTGATTCAGAAGCCATTTTCCCTCCTTTTTGAGGTCTCTGATCAGAAAGGAATCTAAAGCCCAAAGCCCTGGTGGGGCTCGGGCTCGGCTTCTACTGTCGCCGAGCCGACCCCACTGCTTTTCCAGCTGGCGAAGGACGAAGCTCCGCCTCTCCAAAAGTCGACCTCGACGCAGCCGCACAGAGCTCCGCAGAGCCAACCAATCGGAGGGCGACCATAAGCCTTCAAACAGCCGCCCAGGTCGCTCTGCTCAGCCTATGAGCGCGGGCTCGGGCTGTTGCCAGGAGGAAACGTTGTACCGCTGGGGACCGCGGCCACTGAGCATCTGGGCTGGATGGTGGAGCTGGCCAATCGTAGGCGGGCTCTGGCCACCCGTAACTAATCAGGGTTGAAAGAGGAGAGCACCTAGAAATAGGCTGGTCGGGTAGGTGGGTAAGGGCGATGCGGGTATTGTAGGATATTTCTAACAAAAGCGTAGGGCAAAGTTTCATTGTGATGAGTAGCCCTTTGCCTAAGGTAGGAGTGTTTTAAGGACTTTAGGGAATCAGCTTCCGAGGTCAAAGAATCCTGCTAAGGTGGTCAAGTTGGCTTGGTTTTCCGGGACCCTCTTGGTTTTTGAAACAACGCCGTGTGTCTTTGGATCAATCTCAGTCGCCAGTAAGCAAGGACAGTTCCTGAAAGGAGCAGTTCTTGAAGGAGAAGGAGCCCTGAGGGTCATTAGGACAGGTCCTGAGGGAGGGTGTCCGTAGGGTCGTTATAAAGCAGCTCCTCAGTGAGCAGGGATTTGGGGGTCATTAGGAGTAGCTCTGAGGGTAACGAAGGGGGATCCTGGGAATCATTAGAGGCACTTCTGGAGGGCGAGGGGGGTTCCTATAACATAATAGAAGTCATTAGGGGCTGTGCCTTCGGGATAGTGAGTCGCCTTAATGAGTTCCCAGACAGTCAAGGGTGATGAGAAAAGAGGCATTACAGGACACCCTTACAGGTCAAATAGGAAAGTGGAATACCCACAACCTGATAGTCGAAAATATACAAAATTACCAATGGATGAGTAATAGCGTAGCACACTGCAAACAGCTATAAACAGTCAGACCTGTAATCAAAACCACTCACTCCTTTGAGCCTGGGTTTTCACAACATTAAAATGGAAAAAAGGAAAAGAGAAAGAAGGGAAAAAAAAAAGAAACCTGTTTGCAGGATTGTTGTGAAGGTGAGAGCTAATGAATGTTGGCAAAAAGGATGGTATTACTGGGCACATACTTCCAGGAAAAAAAAAAGTTGTTTCAAAAAAGAGAAGAATTGAGTAGGCAACCAATAGTCTTTCATAACAATTAGAAGTTGTTCCTCTCTTGACTAATATACTCGGTAACAAGTTTGCCAGGTAGCTCAGAAAATCGCTAAGCATCTGAAGAATCCAACTTGGAGGATACATAACAAAGAAAACCACCCCAAACCGTGCAACAGAATTCACAGCCCTTGCTGCCTCTGCTGAGCTCAGGAAGCTGCAGGTTGCCTGAAGACTCCAGGTCCTGAATGTGGATACAGTTGCTACCACTGCAGTCCTTACCAACTGCTCCATGAACTTGACCTTGCCCGTGTTTCCCAGCTGCAGAAGAGGTGTTCCAAGTGCCTGTTACTTTGTATCACTGGTTTCCTACTGGAGGTGATAGATGGAGCCTACGTCCAGTTTCTGCTGACTGCCTCCCATTTCTCTGACAGTTTGTCTCTTTTTAAGCTCATCCTTCCCTTGCCCCCTTTAAATGTTAATATTCTAAGCAAAACTAATTAAAAATCAAAGTGGGGAGGGGGGCCAGCAGATGGTGTAGTGGTTAAGGTGCTGGACTCCCACATGGCTGCCTGTGGTCCAAGTCCTATACCTGGCAGTTTGCATTGTCACTTTCCCTCTCTCTCTTCTGCTCAAATTAAATAAAGAAATTAATTAATTAAAAAAAAGAAGGGTTAACAGGTGGTGTGGTGGTTGAGGTGCTGGACACTCCCAGATGGCCAATCACTGTTCAAGTCCCAGATCTGGTGGCTTGCTTTGTCACTTTCCCTCTCTCTGTGTGTCTCTCTTGTCAAATTAAAATAAATGAATGAATAAATAAAATTGAAATAAAGAATTCTAAAAGAATTATTTCAATTTGGGACCAGCAGGTAGCGTAATGGCTATGTCGCTGGACTCCCACGTAGTCAACCGCGGTTCGCGTCCCGGACCTGGTGGCTTAAAACTCACACCAGGCATGTGTGCGTGCGTGCCCAAGATGCCCAGAGTAGTACGAAGAGAAGGGATTGCGGAGTGGCCATCCCCCCTGGGAGGTGATTTCTCGCTTTCTGTCTTTCTGTCTCTCTCTCTGTCTGGCAAGCGCACCCGCCCTATAGCAAAAACCTCTCAAAAAAAAAAAAAATTTCAATTTTATTTAATTATTAAATAAATTCTTCTTCTTTTTTTCTTTTTTTGGAGAGGTTTTTGCTATAGGGCGTGTGCGCTGGTCAGAAAGAGAAAGACAGAGAGACAGAAAGGGAGAAATCACCCCCCAGGGGGGATGGCCACTACTCCGCAATCCCTACGCAATCCCTTCTCCTCCATCCTCTCGAGGTCTTGGGCACACACATGCGCCCAGCATGAGTTTAAGCCACGGGGTCTGGGACTTGAACAGTGATTGGCCATCAGTCGATTACATGGGAGTCTCTCTATAGCAAAAACTTCTCCAAAAAAAAAATAATAATAATAATTTAAAAAAAAGTTTATGTCATGTTCTAGCGCAGGGATTTTTTTCCTGGGGCTTCACTCTGTCCAGCACTTGGCACAGTGCCCAGCACATAGTAGGCCTGACATAAGTAGTAACAGCATTGTTACTGGCTCTAACAGTTCATTACACTGGGGCCAGCCAGTGGCGGGTGGTGAAGGCACTGGATCCCTCAGTGGCCTACTATGGTTGGAGTCCTGACTTGGCAGCTTGAAAGCAAAGCTGGTGCATGTGCGTGACGCCCAGAATCCCAGGAGGAGAAGACGGGGCCGCGGCATGGTCATCCCTCCCGGGAGCCGATTTCTCACTTCCTTGCCCACTGTCTTTCTCTGGCAAGCACATATACCCTATGGCAAAAACCTAAAAAAAAATGAATTACATTTATTGACTTACATTACAAATGATGTGCTAAATGCTTTATGTATACAAAAATTGTTTCTATCTAACTATTGTCATTGATATTTTTAATTTTTTTTCTTTGTTAATGGGTGCTTGCACTCAATGGAGAGAAACAGAAAGAGACGGAGAAGAGAAGGCACCCAGAGGGAATGGTCATGTCACAATCCCTTCTTCATCTCTTCCTCCTTTCAGGATTTTGGGGCACACACACATACACGTGCACACACACACACACACACACACACAGCATATTTCTCAAGACACTAAGTCCGACTCTTGAACCATGTGGTTGGTTGGCCATGTGGGATCTGGCTACCTTATCCCCCAGGCCAGGGAGCTGACCCATACTTTTCTTTTTAAAAATATTTATTTATTTATTTATCTATTTCTTGTGATTTTCAAGCTACCAGGTCCAGGTCTTAAACAATGGTCGGGCATGTGGGAATCCAGCACCCTAACCACCATGCCACCTGCTTGCCCCCTATTTTCCTTTTTTTTTTTTTTTTTGAATAGTTTTTGCTATAGGGTGTGTGTACTTGCCAGAAAGACAAAGAGAGACAGAGAGATAGAAAGCGAGAAATCACCCCCCAGGAGGGATGGCCACGCTGCAATCCCTTCTCCATTCTCCTCTCAGGATCTTGGGCACGCATGCACATGTGCCCAGCGTGAGTTTAAAC